CTCGGCAGCAAGTGAAATAAAAGGTATGTGATATTTGCATTAACAGCCATACATAAATTGTAATATATAATGTGTCAAATATTTTTTATAGAATTAGATAGCAGATGCAATAAATATCCCAATTCTAATCTTTCACGCTCGAGATCGGCTCAATCTCTTAAATTATTGGGTGATTCAGCAACACAAGATGATAAAATGACTATTTTGGCACAGCTATTCTGGTTATCGGTGTCTTTACTCGAATCAGACTATGAGCATGAATTTCTTTTGGCATTGAGGCTGCTTAGCCGCGTACTTCATAGATTACCATTAGATCGACCAGATGCTAGAGATAAAGTTGAAAAATTACAACAGCAGCTAAGATGGAACTCATTTCCTGGTGTACATGCACTATTATTAAAAGGATGTACTAGTCCCAATACATATGAACCTGTCGTAACATTATTATCTCAGTTCACTCCATTATTGGATTTGCCAGTTGTTGATCCAACCCAAAGCCTCGCGTTTCCGATGAACGTTGTTTCGCTCCTTCCCTATATGCTTTTAAATTATGAAGACGCTAATGAATTGTGTATTAGAAGCGCAGAAAATATTGCACAAGTAAGTATTATTATATGTTATAGTAACTTCGTATGTACTTTTATTTATAAGGAGGATACAATGTTTCTTTATTTGTAGGTGAGCGCCGAGAAAGGAAAAAAATTAGAAAACTTAGGTACTGTTATGACGTTATATAGTCGACGTACTTTTAGTAAAGAAAGTTTTCAATGGACTAAATGTGTTGTCAAATATTTATATGATACATACGCTCATCTTAGTTTCAATATGCTTGCTTTTCTGGTCGAAGTATTGGAGAAAGGTCCAGGAAGTGTTGCGTTACCTGTGCTTAGTATTATACATTGTATGTTACATTATGTTGATTTAGCTTCACAAGCAGCACAACCAATCAACACTGAACTTCTGAGAGTAATTTCAAAATATGTTGAGGTATGATTAAAATTCCATTTCAGACAAAGAAATGAAATAAGTCACAATACCTATATATAGCTCTCTCATAAGCAGGTGATTGATAATAATGTATGTAATGTTAGGGTCCCCATTGGAAAGAAGCCCTTAAAATATTAAAGCTGGTAGTAACAAGGTCATCAACATTAGTAGCACCACCTACATCAGTACATGGATCATCTTGGGAATCTTCAATATCATCTCCACATCCAAGTTTCACCGATACCGAGATATTCACCAAAAAAGAATTACCCGGTAAAACGCTATTCTTTAATATACGTTTTGCATGGATGTGGACGTAAAAAATTATTATGTTTTGTTTTTCCTCTTACAATGCGGAACACGCTCACTGCATGGATTGCTTATCTGACGATGCTCAGGTTGCGATAAAAATAATAATAATAGTAAATTGTAAATTGTTTACGAAATATAGTTACTATTTTTTTAATCAAAATTAAATTTTGTTACCACATAGCACGCTTCCAATAATTCTTAATTTCTGTGAACTTTTTTATCGATTTATTTTTTTCAAATACATATTTTTACAAAAGGTAAAATTTATTTGTTAAATTGTATTATTTAATATCATATTAATTATTCTTAATATTTGTTTGAGTTCTTTGTCATAAAGTTGAATTGTTATGTTCTATTGGTAAATAGGAAGGACTATGGATTTCACGTTCGATTTATCACAAACTCCTGTAATTGGTAGACGGTGGTTAATACGTCAAGGAGTTGAAGAAAAATCACTTAGTTCTCCCCGATGTTCATTATCTCTTTCGCCAGCTGACAGTAATGCGGTTTCCGGTTGGAAAAGGCCATGGATGTCACAGGTTTGGCAAATAATATTAAATAACATAAAATTTACAAATTTGATATTTAATAAAATATATATATTCCAGGGTCGTGTTAGAGAATGTTTGGTAAATCTTCTAACAACATGCGGTCAACGAGTTGGACTACCAAAGAGCCCATCTGTAAGTTTATATTGGAGAGAAACTGTTTTCAAAAACTTGTCTGTGCTACATATATTTCATTCCAATAGCTTTCAACCAAATATCATATCTTTTAACTGATTCTGGTTGTGTACCCCTTTTTAGGATGAACACATTAGTTCAATGACATTATATAGCAAGGTAACAGGTTTCTTTAAATGCAGTCTGCACTCATTATCACGAGAGTAAAAAAGAATCTGTTTATTTTCATATGTGATGTCCTATCAGTTATATTCACGCTTTAACATGCTTCGTGCAAATACCTAACTTGCACAAAATTTTGGAAACGGAAGAAAGTCTCTATTATCTGTAGGATTATCTATGTATAGTAGATTTCTGTGTAGCATGTTAATTGTATGAAAAAATGGTGTATCAGGATGCAATGTACGCGTGCATCATTGCAGTCTTTACGTTATCGCTATATCAGTTGAAATGAAACATATATAAAAGAGTTCATTAATGAACACGTAAATGCACAATAATCGCTAAAGTTCACAGCATTGTCACATAGTAAAGACAGAAATTAAGATGTATCAGACAAAGTTCCTGTTCTCGTTTTTTTCATGATTCCTTCTATTAACTAAAGATTAAACATTTATAACACAGGTGATATTCAGTCAGAGTTCGGATCTAATGGAAAGACAATCATCTATGGCTTCTTCAACGGAAGAAGTTTCTGGTGCAAATAACGATTTAAGCGGAGGTTCAAGAAGAGACGACGAACAATTTGGCGTATTTAAAGACTTCGATTTTCTTGAATATGAAAGCGAAAGTGTTGAGGCGAGTGTTTCATTTAAACATGTTTATGCATGTATTGTTGATATAAATCAACTTGGTTTTAAAATAAAAAATATCTCATTTATGTATTACAGGGTGAAAGTACAGATAATTTCAATTGGGGAGTAAGACGCCGTCCTCTCAGCGAGGGAGAAGAAAGAGAACCAAGTTTAAGGCAATTTGAAGAAAGTTTAAGTGAAAAGACTCAATCATCTAGTAAACACACCAGTCGGGTAAATAAATAAAATTTTTTTGAATAATTTTAATAAATTGATAAGAATCAGAGTGTACAATATCAAAATTGTAGCGCGGTGTTGCGGAAGAGTCATCAGACGACGAAGCTGGTTCAGAATCACCATTAGATGAAGTACCCGGTGGATCTGGAGCAGGACAGGAAGTAAACAATATACCTGGAATGTTCCCACCATCCTCCCTATCTTTAATACCTAGTCGTACTCGACATGATTCTTCGACAAGGTCTGACACATCGTAAGTTTCTTATTAAACCAAGCAAAAAATTTGTTTTGATGTTCGTTCATATTTCATGTGCAGTGGATCTAGTGCTGGAGATTTAGGAGATGTGACCCCTTGTAATGCATCACCAAATCTGTCAGCGTTAATGCCTTTTAGACAAGTTGTAAGAGACGACGCGGAAGAAATTTGGCGCCAACAAATTCAAAATCTAATCACGCAATCCCTTTATAATACCTTAGATTTCTTCCAATTATTGAGCAGAATTTTAAGGGTAATTATATTGTTTGTTAGAGTTATATGTATTTTAGTATTGATAAATTAATACCTTATATTATTATTATCAGGATGTAAGCAGTAAATCGGTCACTCTTACAAGAGAAGCTAGTGCCTTATTGTGTAACGGCAGTCCTGCCTCCACTCAATTAGGCTATCATTTATCTAGTCATGCGGAACTACTTAGTTCAAAAGCCGAACCACCTTTAATTTGGTTTTCGATCGCAATTTTCGCAAATCAAAGATTAAATGAATCATTGCGATTTGGAATGTTAGAAATTCAAGAGCATCTTGAGACATTCCTTGATAAGAAAGATCATGCTACCGAAGTAAATAATTGCTTATTAAATATATGCACATATGTAATTATTACTAATATATAATTTTTCAGTGCTTGGAAGCAGCCAAAGCAGCGGCAAAACTCCAAGCATTAGGTAGTGGTCATACAACAGAGGCAGGCCTTGAAGAAATGCTCTTAGACTTAGGCAGAGCACTCTATAAACTTCATCTTCAATTGTTATTATTAATCGAAGCTTCAAATAAGATGCTAGGTACTCTCATGAATGCTGCACGAAACGTACAAATTCCGCTTTTAGATATATCTGCAGAAATTGCGAATATGAAGATTGCTCTAAGTAGAGCACTTGAAGAGAGTACAGAGAGTGAAAGAGGGACACCAACTCCAACGCCTAGTCCTAGTCCTTTGCCCGGCACTGGTGCTGTGGAAGAAGTTGCTCGTGTCGCAGAACTACTTAGAAACGCGCGTTGGTGTCCTGCGCTTGAAGCTGTAAGGCTGCATAGAGCTCAATGGCCAGGAGATCCTTTTCATGATGATGATGACGTAACGACTGCTGTTAATATGTATTGCAAATATTTAGGACAAGATAGATCTGGTAATATACCGAATCACACACTAAATCATCCTAAAATAGATATTATATTTTGTGTAAAATAAAAATCGTTAGAATATTATGTATTTTATGTTAAAAATACTATACAATAAAAATTAATTATCACATTTTTTTCAGATATTTTTGTGGTTACACGAAAGGATGATGAAATGTCAGAAATATTTAGTAGATTGATGGAAAGCTTATTTCAAGTTTTAGCGGCTGTTACAGGTTTGGAAGCATCAACAAAGGCCGCACGGGCTCAGCATGATCATCCTAATAACACGAAAAATGACTGTTAATTTAACATAAATTTTAATGTATCATATATTACAGACAGTTATTTGTCTAAATTCAAGTCTTCGTATAGTTTAATTGTATCGTGCGTTTTATTCGTGTATCTTGTATACAATTATAGACGTATGTATGTATGTATATCGCGAAGTAATCGTATAGACGTTAAAAAACACGCACGAGCGGAAGCACCAAATCGTCGATTTTGTCGTTTCTTTTTTTAACACGAACGTAATGACATATGTAAGTTCGGTGAAATAAATTTTTGGAAACTCAAAGAAAATATTCGTTTCTACAATTTTCACGTCCTGTAAATATGCTTTCACATAAACACTCAGCATATAATACGCTTGAAGCTGACGGTCACTTGTATCAATGCTATCGTACTACAACAGACTTTATTAAAAGATTCGTTGATCAGGCAACGTTAAATGCGTTCAAGATAATCAATAACTTGGTTTGTAAAAAATTCTTACCATCTAATTTTATAATGTTGAAATTTTCAAATACAGAATTTAACAGGGTGAACTTACTTTTGACAATGTGACTGGTATAACTACACGGAAATTAGGCTATTTCGGTAATAAATGGCCTACGTGTGGCAGTTTGACCGCACGAAATGGATTAGAAACTGTGACAAATGAAATGAAATCGTGGAATGCATTATCAGTAAAACTTCGATATATAAAAATTTTTATTTATAATAAATCTTTAGACGAATATTTTTATACAGTGTTCCTGTAGGCTTTGAAGGATTGGATGTTCCATGTAAACTTCATGGGCCTTCAATATAAATATAATATTGAAATTTATACATACCAAGTTCTTTGGAGTGTACCCACTCCAGCGTATCCCGAACCTCAAGTCACAGTCAGTGTATTCTTCCACATCGCTTCGAATCACACTTATCCTCCTCATTTTCCCCTCGATGTGAGTTACCTTTACTACGAATAATAATCGAATAAATTTAATACCATAGATTTATTTATTCCTAGGTTTCCTACATTTTCGAAGGACATCAGTTTACACATACTTTGAATATGATTTTCAGACCTAAATGGCTTTATGATATTTTAGATATGAAAACAATGATGTTTAAAACATTCAATTTTTAATATTATACATAAATATAAATTACTTCTTACTATGCGATATCTATCGTTATTCTTAAAGTTCAATCGATTTCAGTTGAAATACACTCTGCAATTGCAGTTTAATTTACATTTGAACACGTAAAACTTTTAGCAAGGGTAAACAATAACGAGTTTAAGAGGCATATGCAAAGTATCGTAAAAGTAAGGGTGTCGTATTCCTCGAAAATGGGCACAGGCCTGCTGCACTCTGGTTGAGTGGCAGACGTAAGTTTATTTCAATTGGTCAAGCAGCAAGAGCAGGTGACAACTGCGAGGGAAAATACAACTACCTCGGTCGTTGCTTACAGTTTCACTTACGCCGTTTGCAACTACTGATCAGCATTGATCTTGGTAAAATATAATATTTCTAAGACAGCAACTTTGATTCATTCTTACCAATTCTCAAATGGTCGTTTTCCATTTTTTTGTAATATTATCTTTTTCATAAAAAAAAACAGTATTTCCAAACAGACTCTCCCACAGAGTATATGCAGGGCACTTGTCGCTTCGAAAGGATCTATTTAAATTTTCATCGAGCACACCGAGGAGGTGCAAACTGTGCGTTGGTCTTTCGGATGGTTTCTCTTTCCCTCTCTCTCTCTCTCTCTCTCTCTCTCTCTCTCTCTCTCTCTCTCTCTCTCTCTCTCTCTCTCTCTCTCTCTCTCTCTCTCTCTCTCTCTCTCTCTCTCTCTCTCTCTCTCTCTCTCTCTCTCTCTCTCTCTCTCTCTCTCTCTCTCTCTCTCTCTCTCTCTCTCTCTCTCTCTCTCTCTCTCTCTCTCTCTCTCTCTCTCTCTCTCTCTCTCTCTCTCTCTCTCTCTCTCTCTCTCTCTCTCTCTCTCTCTCTCTCTCTCTCTCTCTCTCTCTCTCTCTCTCTCTCTCTCTCTCTCTCTCTCTCTCTCTCTCTCTCTCTCTCTCTCTCTCTCTCTCTCTCTCTCTCTCTCTCTCTCTCTCTCTCTCTCTCTCTCTCTCTCTCTCTCTCTCTCTCTCTCTCTCTCTCTCTCTCTCTCTCTCTCTCTCTCTCTCTCTCTCTCTCTCTCTCTCTCTCTCTCTCTCTCTCTCTCTCTCTCTCTGCTTTTTTACATGCCATTCGGTTTCGGCGATACCACGACAAATAGAAGACAATTTCAAAACCTGAGAGGGACTTCACCGAGCTCGCGTGCACATGGTGGTCGGATGACACTGGGAGGTCTGTGTTTCTCGGCAGGAGCCTGGAATATCGACAACCACGTGTCGAGCATATCTGACTCGATCCACGCGTCGTGTACCCCTTTAGTCTCACTAAATTATTTAGTATGTAGTAATGTTTAGCAGTATACGCACTTTAAAAACATTTATACCTTGTCGTATTTATGTTATACTATATTTCTCTCGTATGTAACAATAACGATTTCTACGTAGTATTATAATCGACGCGTGCTAAGAGAGTAAACGGGTTATTGACACGAGTAGGTTAGTGTGTTAATAGCTTCATCATTTTCCTTCCGTTTCCTTCTGTTACTGTAACATGAATCGGCACAGTTGTGAAGAGGATCGCGTTCTTTTGACCTAGCAGGTTGCAGGTCAAAAAAGATTTGACTTCCGAAACCCAAGTGGAAACAGGCCAACAAGTGCTGCGGTTCTTTACAGTGATCATATTACCAACGCATTTACAACTTCGTTAGAATCATTATCCTCTTGTCAACCGTGACCACTAAAACATAAGACCTAATTTACCACTAATTTATTAGTATTAGTCGAATGTTAATTTTTAATTAATACATGTAATTTTACTTTACTTACTACACCAAAGCCACGCAAGGTTACTATAAAGAAAAAAGAAATACGTGCCTTCATAAATAATCAATGAAAATATGTGGGTCAAAAGTTAAACGGCAATACCGGGACCAACCACTGTTGCCTATTTATACGGAAAGAGTTTTTTGTCCGGTCCATGTCCTAAACATCACATCCGCCGAGGTGCTTCCTCCGCGAACCGTGTTTTACCGTGATCGTGGCTAACTGATGAAGGAAACGCAACAGGAAAGACAGAGAAAGAAGGCGAAAGGAACCACCGCACCGCCTCACTTTCAGCAGCTTCAAACATCCGCTGCACCAGCCGCCGCCAGATCTCGTTTACCTCTCCTCCGTTTCCCCTTTAGCTCCTTCTCAAAGAGACACACGCGTCCCTTCCTCTTCCTTCTCCCTTTCTCTTTCTTCTCTGCCTTTTGATTTCAAGGGTTGAAGAGGCCAGATAGCAATCTCCATCAAAATTGAAGAATACCTTTGAGTAATTAAATACAACGAAATATATATATATTCTCTCACATAATCTTTAATAAACAAAATCAAAAGATTTTACCTTAAAAAATTCGTTTCGATTAAGTACTAAGATCTTTTCCAATCTAATCTCAAGTCGAATAACAAAAATGACCTCGAAATCGTTCGTCTTAATACCCAGCGGTATGTCTAATATATCGCGTGACTTTGAACGTAGCACACATCTGGAACGAAACGAGTGGACACGTCGACCTCCTTCGAAGAGAGGAGAAACAAGAAGGGGGATGTCCGTCGTGCGTGAACGGTGAGACACGTACCCACGTGCAAGGCTACGTCTTGAATCACCAGCTGCCGATTCGCCGACAACTCCAGGAACCCTGGAGACGAACTAAAATTAGCGACCAGCACCCCCGCCTAGCCCTTACATGGCCACGTCACAGACACACGCGCCGCTACTTTCAGAGAAAGAAAAAAAGATAAAGGAAACAATAATAATCACGGTCCGAGCGGCAGGAGTCGATCGTGTGCGAAATGTCACAGCTGGTGCAGTTGGGTGACCAATCATTTGTACGGGTAAGATTGACGATAAACGTATCACCCGTAAGAAATAGTTAACGAGTATGAAATTATGATACAAATATTTTTATTTCTGTTCGATTTTTCTATTATTAGAATTTGCTGTTATCAGCACCAGACCAATATATGTTACGTGTTTCTCTGATTATTCATAAAATTAAAAATGAGCTTAGCTTTTTTTAAAAGGCAAGAATGATCTGTTAGTAAGCAATATTTGTTGCTTTGTAAAGTTTTAGTAGTAAATGTTTGACCCCTTTTATCACTCAGACAGGAAATATCGTAGGGTGGATTAAGGAACCACATGGCTCCTGCATGAATGAATACTATAATGAACTTGCTCTACTCGTGATAAGACAATCATTCAAATGAGATTCCAGCCAGAACTGTTATAAATATTGTAGGGGTGGTTAGTTTCACCACTGTTAATGTTCTGAAATGCTTGTTTGTAGCTTTTAAGTCTAAATGTTTAACAATGAAGAAACGGTAAACATTTTGACATTCATCTACATTATAGCAAGAACGATGGTAGTGAAAGTGTATCCAGATGTCTGGAAGTGGTCAAATTCAGTTTAGTTTAGAGTAACGGAGCACCTCGCATTCCTTTCGCAATCGATCTTCCGTCAAACAAGAATCCATGGAATCTGTTTCTATCGCGTACACTTCAAGTTCATTGTCCTCGATATCTGGAAGGGCATAGAACCTCGAAACGAGAGATTCTTTTGGTTTCGTCGTAGTACTGGAACTCCATTCCAAGTACATCTGCGGCGAGCGGATGCAGCCTGCATTTTATAGCCGCCCAATGCAACCGATTCTCATTCGTGCACCCGTACTCACACCCTCCACCACTTTCAGCACGCGGTACAACGACTTCTATAATTAGATTTCCTTCCCTTTAGCTTAGACACCTTCGAGCATGATCTCCATTTGCCCCGCGAATCGCAGAAACCTACCACCTGGGTTGCAAACGTTATTGAAGGTTCTACAATTAACAGGGTCAATTTCTCTCGAAGGGTTGAAAATGGAATTGAAGAAATACCATTGATCATAGGATATAGAATCTTATCATTCAAAGGTCGATCAACCTATGGATAGATATCGTCTGAAACAATATACACCTTCATCGCCAAAGCCAGCAATCACTTGACTTGTGTCGTGTTTTGCATTTGAATGCCGACCATGATGTCGGTATTCCAATACCGATCTACACGTTCAACGTGCTGACATTAACGGCACACACGCAGCTACGTTACAGGTTTCACGCCAGCTATTTCGAACAGGTTGCGCTCGGATCTATTTTTCGATCATTGGCATCGACTGGATCCACGGATCCACGCTTCTGATGACAGGTAGCCAGAAAAATAATTGAAACGACGACGATTAAATCGAGACGCGATCTATAAATGCTGTGTCACGTGCCAAAATGTAGTATCCTCGCAATTATAAATGGTTAATCGTTGGTGGTCGGCCAGGAGTTTGCAAAATGGTCATGGTTTTAATTTCGTGAATTCATGCACATCTAAAACGTCATTAGATGCATCTAATTTATCTTCTTGTATTATTATTTAATTTTATTTACATGCTTCTTTGATTATTCTTTGCATCTAGTTAACAATATTTATCATTTTGATTAGTTAGTTTTTCGTGTACTACTATATTGATAGTGTATCTTTTCTCCTATTATACATTGTTGTATGTTTACAAACAAGACAAAAACCACCTCTCTTAGCTTCACGAAGTGTCTTTCATAAAGTGTCATTAAACGCTCTTGGCACGAGGCTCTCGCTTTCCTCGTTGGCAAATCCTACGTAGTCCTTTAAGAAAACTGATCGATAATGATAACTGATCCTAGAAACCACCTCATATAAAGTATTATAAACTCTCGTAACAGAAACAGAATAACAGAAACTTCTCAATGAGAAATTTTGAAATCAGTATCCCAAAGCCGAAAGAAGGAATTTGATTGTGCAACAATGGCGCTTCTTTCCGAGCATTGCCAAGTTCGTAATCGTCATCGAAGTAGATACAAATGATTGCTGAAACGTCATGAATGAAATTTTTCTATACATATGTAAGAATAAAAAATATAAAAAATATAATATCCTGAAAATAAAATTTATGTACAGATTTTAATACCGAATGAATGTATCGTAACACGGTAACGATGATGTTTCTTATTTATAAAAACGTTTCATAACATGAAAAAATAGACTAAAAATTTTGTACTACAAACCTTGTGGACTTTGCACGTTGTAGCAGCTTGGCAACCCAGTACGATCCGTCCCTGATCTGCATGCAAATACGAGCTATACTTAGAGATGTCCGATTTCCCTCGTTACGACAACAGATCGCATTTTCGTCTTCATCGACCTTAATCATTCTTCGTAGAATTTTCATACAGTAATGTTTTCAGACAACGCCAATGCAATGCGATTCGGAAAATGTTTCCCGCTACGTTATTAAACAAAAATTACAAGTCTCTCTTTCCTGTGATTTCCGTGTAGTAAAACGGTTACTAGTTCTTCCCATGTCATTCATTAATCGCTACGGAAACTGTTTAAAGGATTGAGATAATGTGCAACGAGCATCTTCTTGCGCCTGGATTCTTCAATGAGCCACTAGAAAGAGGAAATCTGAATGAGCTACCTACACGTATACATGTACCGAGCAGACGCAAAAGGTCACTTGAAATATTTTTTATGAGACCAGAAACAACCTGGCGCATGAATTGGCCTTTAAAATTCTACATACTTCACGTAAATGCCTTTTTATAAACCATACATTTATGAATTAACTAAATGAATTAACTAAATTAACTTATAAAACACTATTTATTTGTATATTAAATGATATTTAAATAATTGCCATTAGCATCAGTGTCAAGAACACCATAATGTCTGTGTTACCTCGCATAGTAATACTGATAAACATTTCTCGACTAATTTACAAATTACGCTATCTCAAATTATGTGACAAAACACCAGCCTTTCATCTAATACGCGCGCGTTAACTCAAGATGATCACGTGTAAGAGATGAATGCATGTGCGTGTGAAGGGAAGCTGCGGTGGAAAAAGAAGCGTAAAAGAAGGGGAAGATAGGAAAGAGAGAGACAGAAGAAGGGCGCGTGTCGGTCGCGTGCCCGTTGCCGCTGGTGACTCGGTGTCTGCGACCCTCCTGCCCTTTAACCCCTCTTACAACTTTTCCATGGACGAACGTTTGAGTGGGGACAATATAATCACTAGACCTTTAAACGTATCCAAGTTTTCATAATCTCAGTATAATATGAACGATTAACACAGGTATCAATCCCAATTATTTTCTACTCTTTCATTTATTTTTCTAATCTTTTCTTCTTTAACTAGCATATTAATTTTTTCACAGTAAATATATGGTATATTATACGTAACTTTATCAGTTTATTAAATAACTTTTTTTTACAATACCGATTAAAAGTGAGTAGAAGGATGAATTCCATGAATCCACCAGCAAACTGTTCAGGACTACGACCTCAGCCCCCTCATCGTCTAGTCCACTTCCTCTTTTTCCGTCCCCTTCATTTTTTTCATCTCTCCTTAAAGCCGTCTGGACGACAGCAATGGAAGAAAGAGAATCAACGAGGGAGGATCAGCGTGGCACGTGGTCCGTACGCGAAGCGATAGAAGGAACCACCTACTGCAACAGGAGATGTATCCCATCAGAAAACAGACACCGGGTCGAATAATGATCGAACGGCACCCGTGCGTCACGTTAACGGTTCATCCTTCTTTCTTTTACATCCTAGCGCTTCCGATGCTTGATGCGGGAGACGGAAGTCATCAACATTCTCCAGATCTCAAACGGGCAATAATCTACATGATCGTTAAGTATATTTCAGTCAGCGCAGATCAATGAACAGAATTTTCTATCTAATATCGTTTGTACTAATGTTCGTGCATTCGTCAGTGTCAATTAAGAACACTGATCGCGATAAAGTCTTTTTGTAAAACCTCATATCTTGATTACTTTTTTCAATAGAATTTCGGGTGTCCTTATTTTTATGATCATTTAAAGATCTTATACGTCAGTCTATGTAGATACGTAAAATCAGCTGACTGCTCGATAAATTCCTGTGCTCATACCGGTTGCGACGAATTTAAATGCATCGTGTACGTCATTATGAACCATCGTTGGTTCTTTTGTTGCAAAAAAAAAGCTTACGTGAATATAAATCCAGCAACAAGAGGTTTCAAGAATAAGGATATCCCGATCGCTCTCACTCTTATGTGTTTGTCTCTGTTGTCTCGATCAAGATCGCAGACGGTCCGGCCGAGTGTAGAATTTCGTCGTGAAATTTGTGAATGAGCCCTCGTGACTCGCGCATTTTGAATGGAAACCGACAGGCCGGTTTTTACGAAAGCAGCACTATGCTCTGGCACAGGATGCGGGTGCGGACGAAGGGGGTGTATGCTCATTTTTATCCTTTTTAATTCTTTTTTCTCGTCGTTGAAGGAGATAAGAGGGGAAAAGGAAGAGAGAATACCGCCAGCTGATCGCCTCCGTCTTTGAAAAGGTTGTGCAAAATGCGAGCACGTGCTCGTGTGTGTGACCCTTTTTAGATTCGCATGCCTGCTTGCCACCTGCGAAGCCATTTAGTTCTACAGTCTGATCGGCATGCAATTAATCTACGAATTACTATACTTCCGTCCTCTTTATAAATTTCATTATTCTGCATGCTTTTCTAAAATTGATCATTAAATTATTCTTTATTTTTTGTATATACATGTCGAAGATGGAGGGACAGCGGGATTTCCCGTCCGAAATGTTGGGAAAAACCCCAATACCCTAGTCCAGACTTTTTTTACTATAGCTGTACTTAAGTAATAAAAATAAGAAATAGTCTTAATGTTGCAATCTGACTTTATGACGATGGATTCGGGCTCGAAGTGACATAGCGGGTCACTAGACGTAGCCACGGTCACGGGAGGGACGTGTACCTGACAGAAGTTTGAAATGATTATATGACTCTCCTTAAAAACAAAGATTGAAGCGAGAAGTGGGGACAGGAGTATATAAGGGCAGTTTCTTTTGGATTACGGGAGAGTTAGTTTGTTAGTTAGTCGTTGGACGAATTACTGACTGAGTTACCGAGAAGTTACCCGAATCAAGTAGTACGTTGATGTCCTTGTCCTCCCGTGGACCGTGGATTTGTTATCGAACCTGAATTGGTTATCACCATCATCTCGACCATCCTATTGCCATTACTCATAGTCTCTTGTAATGTTCACATTCGTACTGATAAATATTAGCTACATTCGCGACGGTAAAGTAAGTAAAGGTTCATCGAACGCCCCAAAATGCCAACCTGACTCCGACATACATAATACAAATATAATATATTATATATTCGCATATAAATTGATTTTCAGATGATTTTGATAAAATTTATAAGACTTCCTTTGTAGTAAAAATATCTATTCATTGATCTTAATAGATAGTAAGTGGCGACGAATCGCAAGAAAAACGATATAAAGAAAGGGAACAAATCTGAGGGGCGAGAAGGGTGAAACAGGCGGCTGTTCGCCGTCGGCGGAAGGAACTGTCTCCCTTTATACCCAAAGACATTCCTCCAAACATGAACCAACGTGCTTCGTATGACGGCATTCTCCCCTTGTAGGAGCACTTCCACGGACATCCCCACCCTGTGTTAACCTCTTGCACCCGAAACTAAATTAAGGGCCGTTCCGGTTGATATTTTTTAACCTTCTAATACTCCTTTCTTCTTTCTTTCTTGTCTTCGCCTTATTATACGTCGAGATTCATAAACTTGCATTTGATTATAGTATTTCACGCAAGTTTACTAAATTAATAATTTAGATTCTTATATTGTAAAGCCACTTTTCTGGAATTTTAAGAATTCATAGAAAACCAACAACTTTACATAGAACAGATATGTGCATACAATGACTCATGTACTGAAAATAGAAAATTGTCATCTAAAACCCGGTGTCATTGCACCCTAGGTCCTAGAGGACGTGTACGGTGGCTAGAAGAGGAGACAGATGAAAGTTGGAAGTACACGTAGACGACTGAAAATCTCGTCTGGCTCGTTGCCAAGATCTTCGAATCTTGTCATCTTCTTCATCCACGTCTTCTATTCTTCAGCACGCACTTCTCCCCGTACATTTGCTGGAGGCAATCAATTAAATAGTTCTCATAGTTTCTATCTTTCTATCTCCCGATGCCTTTTACTATTCCGTGCAAAAGTATAACTTCGCGTAGTTCTTACATTGACGAATAAAATATTTTTTTTGTTAATACATTCAGCCTTAGTGCGTTTTATTAATTATCGTTTCGATTCTACAATAGAAAGAACAACTTTAATCTTAAAGAACGGAAGGTTTTAGAAACATCGAGAAAAGAAAATAACAAAGGAAAATGGTTAGACAAACGAAAATAACATGACAAGGATATCAATTTCGAGAATGGGTAAAACGATAAAACGAACTTCCGGTAATACTACGTTTCTTTTATCGCTATCGTCTAATTTTGGTCAGAATTAGCGAAGATGCGTCATCCTTTACGAATTCTCGAATCGTGAATTTAGAATTCCAATCTGTACGTTCTACCTTGTCCCGCGAGTGACCGTGGAATAGAAGAGAGGTGGTTTACCCGAAGAACACGACAGCTGCATCGAGCCACCGGCCTGAAAATAGCACGGCAACCCCATACTGAGGCCGAAGAGCGAAGTCGAAGCCCTCTCCCTACGTCGGTATATACTTCGGTTAAAAAGCCACCCACCTACGAGCCTTTTAAATAGCGATCGCGTGCTTTTCCCTTTTTTTTCCAGCAGAAAACTTCTCGCTAAATGACATGGTCGTGGAAAGAGGGAGTGTACCGACGCTGATTTATAAGAAGAACCAGGCGTTTCCGGATACTTTTCGAGACGATACTTGACACACTCGCCGAAACATTTATTTTTTTACCGAACGATCGAAACGGAATAGGATTGCACTTAATGACGCTGTTTTCCTTATCGAACAAAAAAACATCCCCTTTCTCAACTTCCGAGGAACTTTTTCCCTTTCCTTCTGGTCTGGATAACCATTAGGGATAGTGTTTATCCGTATCTTCTGAAATACGAGCACTCTGTAATTTTAATTTCCTGCTAATTCGATTGTCTAAACTGAAAAAGATATATGACAATATTTCATTCATTCGATAGTATGTGATGTATAATATATGCGTATATATAGTATAGATAAATCTAAAAACGTATAGTCAGCTTCTGTCTCATTTCTGTGAAAAATAGCAACGCACGTGGTTTTGCCTCTAGATCTATCCAACTTCTCTTTTTACTTCACCACAATTTACACGTACTTCCTCCTCCGCACCTGGAGCTTCTCCAAGTGCGCGTTTTACGCGACACGTTCCATCGGAAACGCGTTCAGGCACCTGTAGATGCGCCCCGTCCGCTGGTTTATTAACATAGAGACCACGAGGTAAGTTACATCTTACGTATATTTGATGACATATAGAAGTTCGGATGGACAATCCATCGCTGAGAAAAGCTTCTGCGAGTTGCGTCAGTTGAGATGCTCGACACTCGTGACTTTATTTTTAGGTCCGCCGTCGATAGTACCATGATTGCAATAGAGTTGTCGAGACACCTGTTCTTCGAATCATTTCAAAGACGATTAGGATGTCGAGATTTATTCGATCTGAAAAAATGAACGAAGTATGTAAACTAGAAAGAGAAACATGAAAAGGATATTATCTATACATACAACTATATAATATCTTGTTTCTTAATGTCCATCAATTCCTTCTCCAATACAACGTTAGTCTACGATACTTAAATCTGAACCATTATTCTGTTGCCTCGAGATTTACGAGTGTCGATAAATGCAGCTTACACTTGGCATCGTATTTTCGCGACGAATAGAAGAGAAGCATCGTGAAACATCGACGCGGGACGAAAGAAGGTGGCAAGCAAATAAGAAAACGACGTAGGCTCTCGCAGTTTCATTGGTGGCTACAGGATAGAAGCAGGTTGGTGCGCTGGGTGGTTCTTCTGGAGCGACGCCAGGCGTCCGCCGAATTTAGCACCGCGACGCTGACTAACTCGCGTGGCATTCATTCAATCGCCGACCAAAAAGCCCGCTGCTTGCATAGTCTCTCGCTGCATAGTCTCTATTTGCACGAACGACGCCACTCACACTTAGAAAATCTGGCTTTCCTTTCCATTTTTCTCCTTTTTAAGCGCTCTACGAATCACGTTAAAATTTATCGCGTATGCTTCGATACCTGGAAGCGTGCAACAGTCCGTCGTGGTTCATTGTTCAGTTACATCGATAGGAAACGAGGTAATTAATAAAGCCCTTTTCAGCAAAATCATCTGTGATATTATTATACGATCGTGCAGAATATATAATCGATAAAGTGTGACTGAAATAGAAGTGTCATTTTATTAATAACGACTTGTTATTAATAAAACATTGCAGAGTATCTTAAAGTATGATAGTCGCTTCCCATGAAAATATAATGTTTATTTTTAAAAAATTCCACGGAAAAAGCGTGGAAGGTTACGAAGTAAGAGGAAGAAGACGTTTAAGAAATGTAGCTGATTTCTCGTCATTTGCAACGAAAGTTTATAATATTATTAGTGTGGTTTCCATCGTTTTCTCAAAATACTTGTAGCATCGAGTTCGAGGAAATTTCACTTATCTCGTAAGCAAAAAGACTGTGTGTCCCGATGAATCGCGTCTGCCATCTTTGCGCTTTTTCCGTTTCTCCGTCATGACGGTCAAAAGATGCCGCATACTAAACGACACACGTTCCTTTCCCTTCCCTTTCTTCTTTTCTCGGTTCAGTGGCAGTTAATGAACATCGGACGCGTGCCACGGATCCCACAAAATCTGTCTACCAACGGTGGCTTCGCACAAAAATAGAATGCTATCCCTTCATTTGCCAACTGGTAAATATCGTTTCAATAATATGCTTTCTTCCGTTTGTTTCATTTGTTTTTACCGATTCCCTGGATTCGTGCCTTTAAATCTTAAATATCAACACTTCAATGCAGATAAAATTTTATTTGACGACTTGGAAATTATTTTACATTAAAACGATGCTTCGTCCGTGTTGTTAATTGAAATTGGATGTAAATCTTTTTCGTGACAACGCCTCTTAGCACCTCGGTTCATATCAAATTTAACGCACTCTAAATGCACTTTATATGTTTACACCTGTTCGTGTCCATCCGGAAGCAGTTTCATAACTCATCAAGTTTCTTAAAGCGAATGCAGTAATAAGAACACTTTGTTCGATTCTTACTGGTTCATCAATATTACATTAGAACAAAGTGTTCAGTGACCGCACATGAGCTACAGGTCGACATTTCCTACAGATAAACGAATACGTAGGCCTCCAACCTACCTTCCCCCACGTATTTCGACCCACGTCAAAGAAAAAATAAATCTTCGTTACGCTTCCTTACGAACGCGCAACAATTCAGCTGAAAAAAGCTCAGTATAATTTTCCACCTTGAAACCATCTAATATGTCTTATATTTCCAAATCAAATCCAAAAATACAGAACTACTTCAAACTGAAGCTTTAACTACCTATTAAACATTAGAACGAACTTATAAGGATTGAAATAACACACAAAACGATGTTATCAATCGATAAAATTTTGGCGACTTATTAAAACGAAAATTGTTTCTGAAGCTTGAATGAAAAAATCTTAAATTAAGAGACCTATTTTGTTTTCTCTGTGGCGGATGTGAAGAGAGAGTTTTCTCGTAATGATAGTTTTAAACTCAGCCAGTATTAAATTTTGATAAAATATTATGTAAAGGAAGTGTTCGAATTTTCAAGAGTATTTTGCCCAATGAATTACATAAAATTTCAATAAGGTAAACATTACAGTTTTCTAACAAACATAACGCAATTTCTAACAAATAAGAGAAGAAATTTCTGGTCGGTACTTAAATGAGTGTCTAAGCGAGTGTAAATAAAAAAATGATAATAAGCAAAAATCGTCATTAGTTTCAATCTAAAGAGCTTTTAATATTCAATCTTTTACGCGTGTACTCGTGCACAACATTGTCCCCGTTCACGCTCGATTGAAAAAGCGACACGGATGTGCATACAGTGGTCGCACACTTCGCCACCACTCAAACAGAAGCAGCGACGACACACGAGCCAGTCGGGCACCCTTCTGAGCGCGTGCAACGCGGTGCGCAGCAGCTGAAGAAGAAGAAGACGATGACGAAGAGACGGCGGAGGGCGAGGGAGGCTGCGCTGCTATATGTAGTCCCGAATCTTAGCCGGAGCAACTATTACGCCCGAAATTCTCGAGGCGGACGCACCCCCGTGTTTAGCAACAGGTACAAGATACGCGAGAGATTACTTAAAACCGCGCGGCATCATCTTCAATCCGGGGGTTCAACGTTCTTTCGCGGTATTCTTCAACTTAAAGTAACACTTGCAATTAGTGACCGTGTGTGACAGTGAAGTTAAATCAGACAGATCTAAGGTATGGTTTGTGTGATTCCAAGAGTCAAATAGAGAGAAGAAGGCAAATTACAATAAAGAAGAAAATGCCGAGGGCATTTCTAATCACCCACCGACGATACAATGGAGTCGAAGAAGAGTTTGATGGATCCGGAAGAGGTACGTCCGCTTTCGTAACTGTCTCTTTGAATATTCCTTGCTTATCCCGTGCCAGGAATTTTTTTTCATCTTCTGCGCTGTATCTCCGTTTTAAAAATAAACCTTAACGCGTCCTCTTCGTCGAAAAACCTGTAAAGATTGCTATTTCTTATTCATCAATTCGATTTTATGTTCGATTTTACATGCAGCTTTACGTTCCATTTGGTTTTGCGTTCAGTTTCATGTGTTCGTCAAAAAACTTTTAGCTATGAGAAAACAGTACATTGAAAGTTCAAAGGTTAAGACGAAAGTTCCATTAATGGTAATGTTAGCGCCTCAAAAACGTAAATGTAGGTACTTGAGCCGGAGCAAGCAAAATTTTCGCGCTGCTTACGTCCATCTCGTCAATCAAAGTTTCTGACCACAAGCCAAGAGAATTTGCTGGTCGTTGCTTCGTGATTAAGGTGGTACATCATGCAGATTTAAGAATAGGAGACGCTAGATGCGTCACGAAACTAACACGACGCATACCGTCGCGATGCCGTCAACCCCTCCAAAACTTTCATACAAACGCATATGTATGTGTACATTGAGGTACGCAGAAAATACAAGAATTAAATAGAGAGAGAAGAATAAGTTAGAAGATAGAGAGAGAAAGATAGCTACTCTATTTCTGTTCTCTTCAAAAACAGAGCAGGCGGTATACTCGTGAAGGTGCTTCGTGTTTCACGAAGCGCCTTGATACATGGATTCAAAGTCATAAATATGGATCTCTTTGTTCGGCACGGTTTACGATTTAAATACATAAAGTGTAAGTTAAATTCATAAAAAGAAATTCCAGAAATAAGAAATCCTCTGTTCTTTGAGCGAAATTTTTCTATAAGCTTCTGTTAATATGCGCAGAGCGGTACCACCTGTTTCAAGTTTCATCAAAGAGATTGATATATGATACAGAAACGTCGTTTCCTAAAAGCTAGTTATAAAGAATGAGGCGCCAGAACGTGATGCATTTCCTCGTTGCACAAGAATGACGCGAAAATGTCACTAATTTCAAAACAGCCGCGTACAACGAAATCAAACTATCAATTGGAAGTTCTTTTAGTTTGATCACGAGATTTCCGTTGGAAATTCGCCAACACGCACCGAAATCGTAGAAATCTCCACTAACAATGATAAATGTTTCCACGTGCGGCATTTTGAACTTCCTTCAATTTTATTATCCGACGTGATAGTCTAGTGGTAATATCTCATATTGTCTAAATGTTCATACTGTTAAACGTAAAATTCGTAATAACAAAAATACCTTGCAGAGGAATAAAAGAGACTAATGATAAATCTAATTTTTGTCGATCTTTCATAGATTTCAGTCCTGAAAGAGGAGTAAGACTGGCCGATTACAGTGGAAACCATCCAACTTCTGACGGCGCTAGCGAATGCGGTAGCGAAACATCGTCAGATTGTCCCGAAGAATTGTACAATCTCACAAAATTGGCAGAAGTGAGCTTAGCCGCAGCCGCTGGTACGTTAATTCATCCCAACAACGTGATTTATCAGCAACCAGCTTCGCCTAGATGTGCTCAATTTTCGGACAAATGCGGCAGAATAATGACCCCACGAGCAAAACAGCAAGAATCGCAATTTCAAGATCACCCAGAGACCCTCGAAGATGAACAGACACTTGGTGAAAGAACGAGACTCTTCTTCGAGAGGATCGAGTGCGAACGTGAGATTTTACAGAATCGTTCAAAGAGGAACACAGTTTTAGGCATCCACGTTTCACCTCATTCTCATCAGTTGCAAGAGGAACGTCAAAGTCTCGAAGCCTCTGAGAATTCGCTCGATAAAGCTGAATTGGAATCAATTCAGTCCACACCCTCGACTATCTGTCAAAACCGAAGAACAACCTCGACTTCAACGGAGACGTCGAAATCCGAAGACAATGAGGATCACGAATGTCCTGACTGTGGAAAAAAGTACTCGACATCGTCTAATTTGGCCAGACATCGACAAACGCATAGATCTCTTGGAGACAAGAAAGCCAGAAGGTGTCCACACTGCGATAAAGTCTATGTCAGTATGCCTGCGTTCAGTATGCACGTTAGAACGCATAACCAGGGGTGCAAGTGCCATTATTGCGGCAAGTGTTTCTCGAGGCCGTGGCTCCTGCAGGGACACATACGTACTCATACAGGTGAGAATTTAAACAAAAATATTATTTTATACGTCGCTGATGGAGTGAATGATGTATTACGTAACCAATAAAATAT